CAACGTCACTAACCCTTCTTCCGTGACCTTGCCGCTCCTGTCGATGGTACAAATCATGACTTCCTGTACTGCTTGCGGTGGGGCCGTAGGAACATCGCCCCCAAGGCTTGCTTCCTTCCGTGCTCCGGGTCTCCCATCAGTGGTTGGGTGCGTCCGAGGACGCAGGCGGCCACCATCCTTCCAACTGATGTCTGGGTCGTATGCAACATGCCATGGGTGCCCTAGGATCATATCCTTAGTTGGCCCCATATCAACGACGTCGAAGCTGATTTCGACCGTCTTGCCTTCCACCGTGATAGGGAGTGGTATCGTTTCCCTCTTCACGATCTGTGTCTCGAAAGGTCCTTTTACCACAAAGGGTGCCTTCTTTTGTTTCCAAGGGATTCTCAGTTGGTTGACGAACTTGGGTGAAATGAGGTTCAACTGAGCTCCGGAATCTACCAGTGCGAGAGCTTGGTAGTTTCCCCAATGAGCTACGACTTTGAGTCGCTGGTCATCTTTCCCTTCTTCCGCAGCTGCGACCTCCGTGAATGCTACGGGGTCCTGGATCTTGTCTTTCCGTCTGCTGCTTCGTCGGATGATCCTTTTTGTCCAGGGACTTAATTTTCGTCGGGCCTCCCTGAAGGCCCGAAGCCGTTTCCCAATTCCTGGCTGTAGTCGTGGGGAGCGTCCTCCACCTCGGTCTCGTAGCTGTCCAGCAGACTACGTTCCTGCAACCAAGCCAGATGAATGGCTTTTTCGTCCTCGGTATTGTTGTCCGAATAGGCTTGCCTCAAATGCTCGTTGAGTTGTGATTCGTAGTGTCTGGCCTTCGGTCTGATATGCATTGGACAATCGGCCGTCGGGCACCATCCCCAGTGGGGGTCGTTGTTTCCCCATGCGGTACAAGTGTATACATTGAGTGGTCGGACGGTCAGCCTCCGTGGGAATAGCGGGTTTTCCTGTGGTCCGAATGGTCGAAGTCCAAATGCGAACCATTCGTCGATGATGAGGGATCCTTCAGCCCTGCCTCGGCTGTAGGTGCGGGTGACTGGCCTGGGGCGGCCTTGCGCGTCCGTTCTCCTGGTAGGCCAGAAACGGTTGTCCCTCTTCTTTCCGTAGTGTTCGTGGCATCCGTGGGTGACGCACTGAAACCATGGGACGCGGTAGTGTGCAAAGTGAAGGGGATGGAGTTGAGCGGTGTCCCCTGCCACTGGCATGTAGGCTTCCATGTCGTCGGGGAGCTGGTCCCATTTGGCCATGGATTCTCCCTCGATGGTGATCCTACGTTTCCTCCAAAAGTCGTCCCATGTTTCTCCTGCCTGGCTTTTCTGATGGAAGTCGTCCAGCGGGTCCGTCCAACGTCCCATAGCCGAATCGTTAGGGTATGCGAACCTGCAAGGCTGGATGTAATCACCCATGTCTCCTTCGGCAGGTGCCGTGTTAGACAATTGTACAAGCGTGAGGAGTTCACGGTCGACGCTCGCAATGCGGTTGACTGCTTCCCATGTCGGGGGTTGATAGTCTCGAGTGGTAGTTCGTCCCCTGGGAGGGTCCTGGTTGTCCCGTCGGGGGTCCTCGTGATCAGGTCCCGTGGGCGACTGCCACTGATTGTCTGGGTCAGCATCTATAGCGCGGTCGATTGCGTCCTCGAGGTCGTCTTGCCCGTATTCCATG